CTGCTTCTCCCTCTGCCTCTGCGTGCCGCTCCCCCTGCTTGCGCCCTCTCGCTCTCTAACAAATAAATAAAATCTTTTTTAAAAATATTAAGTTTACTTGAGCAAAAATCAATTCGAATGAGGCAGTACCAGTGGAATGGAGAGGAAGGCTCTCTCACACGCAGGAGGGAGCAGGAACCGGAAGTTATACTAGGCACACAAGCAGGTTGGCTATCACAAGGCCACCATCCTTTAGGGGAAGACAGGGGTCTGGTGGGCCCATTACCTGGCTAGTGCTGATCAGGCTATTCCTGATTGATTGGTTTAGGATTCCATTTCTGGGAGCGCTGAAATTGTAGTCACGTCTCGGTGTGCTGACACGGAGCTTAGCATCAGAAATTCAATTTTGGGCCTGTTGTCCTGTTTTTTAACGGTCACATGGCCAGCCCAGAATTACTGGCTGGGTCAGAGGGGGTGGTTCTCTGCTCAGCCTCCGTGGCCTCCCATTCCCAGCTGGAAACCTCGGCGCTAGGAGGTGGAAGATGGGTGGACTGCAAGTGGGTCTATCAGGGCTCTTGCCGCTTTGAAACTTGACTGCTGACCCTCAGCGGGTTTAGCCCGGGACTCCTTTCCTTCCTCCCCAGTCACTCCCTCCAGGATCGTGTGGGAGCCTGTGGCTGGCTTCCACCTGATGGACATTGGCAAGGACCATGGGAAGCCGCTCCCTTGGTTCGGTTACATGCTGTGGGGCTCTCTCTCAGCGGACTGGAGATTCTCCTCGTGGATTTGATGAGCTAAGCTGCCATTTTGAGGGAGGCCCATGTGGCAGGGACCTGTGGATGGCCTCCGGGATTTACAGGTGGCTTCCAGATGACGGCCAACAAAACCTGGGGCCCTCAATCAGAACAGAGGGGAGATGCGGGAGGTTGGGAGGGGTCAGGACTCAGAGTCCATGTGTAAAACCCTATTATCCTCCTCACGTAGGGCAGCGAAACAGGGATTCTACTCGAGAACAGAGAGGTCTTTCCTGATTCCGCACCCGGGCCCCACACCAGATTCAGAGGCTGCTAACACGGAGGGCGGGGGCCCTGCAGGCCCGTGGGCAGGCTTGTCTGCACTCACTGTGAGCGACATCAGAAACTCTGAGGGAGAAGGCGGGGGGAAGGTGGGAGTGGGGGTTCTCCCATGCCAAGCCCTGCAGTCCAGCCGGGAGGGCTTCCGGGCAGAGGTGGAAGCAGAGGCCTTCCCATGAGCTACCTGCAGTGGTCGGAGATGGCACCACCCTGCCCTTGACTGCTGCAGCAGCTCCTGGCTTCTTCACAGTGCGGCAGTGGCTACTGAGCTTCCGCTCGCCTCCTCTGTGCTTGGAGTCCCCCATTTCCAAGTACTTCCTTGCCAGAAAATGTGAATTCTTCTCTTTGTCTTGCTGAGGAAGGTCTTGGTCCTCTATTTCAGAGTTGAGATCTTCTAGGCTCCTGGCCCGGGGCACCTGAGAAGTGAGGGCTTCTCTCTTTGTTGCCATTTCCATAATTTGCTGACCCTGTCCCAAAGGCAAGTAGCTGCTTCCTCCTATTTCCCAGGGCTGCCTTCCTCCCAGGGAGAGACTAGAACTTTCCTGGGAAAGTATCAATGCAAACAAGCAAATGGGCTCAGTCTGTCCCCGAAGAGTGGCATGGGGTGACACTGATGTTAACACAGGAGCAGCCCGGAGACTGGCCGGCTACCGCGGGAGTGTGCCGTCAGGCAGTGCGGGTCTGGCAAGGCAGTGGTGGGACCATGCCCACCGCCGGTTTATGGGGCAGTGAGTCAGGGTGCCTGCTCCTCTCGCAGTCCCAGAGCCAACATATGACCTGTCCCAATCCACGGAGCAAGCCCATTGGTGGGGGAGGCAGCGGGGATGCTTCTGAGCCATGACTGGGTCTCTGCCCATGTGAAGCTGCTAGAAAGCAGAGGACAGACATCCCAGAGCACCATGCTCCTCATGGTGGAGGGAACAGGTAGGGTGAAGCATCAGGAGCCAGGTTCTAGATGTCGACACCCATCTCCTCTGCATGGACAGGTGCGCCTTCATTCAGCTGGCCATCTTCAAAGCTACCACCTCCAGACCACAAGAGAAACAGAGAGAAATGCGATGCCCCGCTGTAAATCCCAGTCCAGACCTACAGAACATCCCCGTGTTGCTCAATAGGTGCTCAAGGTTTTCTGCAAAGATCTGCTAGCACGAGAGATGTTTGGAAAGGACTGCCAAAGGTTTTTAAGAGCTGTTTAGTGGTGGAATTTAAAAAATGGCACTTCATGAAGAAGCAATTCACCCCGACATTCAAGTGTCTTCCAGGTCCTTTTAGATTCTTGCAAGGGGGTGGGGGGCGGGCGTCACAGTGGTCTTAGGGAAAGGGCTTCACCGTAGAATCTGTGAAAGAAGTCTTTTCCAAATGCGCTTACTGGAAAAGCATGCCAGGCAGTGACCAAAAACAAGGTAGCCTGCAAAATGGATTTCTCTCATGGGGAGAGAGATCCGAGGGATTATCTCAGGTTTCTAACCAGAGGGGTTTGTGGTTACTGTATTTACCCCACATGTGATTATACACTGGAACTCGGCTGGAAACCTCGGAGGGCCCTAACCATGAGGGGGGCAGGCAGTACAGAGAGACACCCGCCGGGGCTGCAGGCTAAGTGAGAAGGGCCCCGAGAATGTCAGATTACTTCACTCTCCCCAACAACTGGATTTTCAGAAGGGGTGAGAAGTTGGGGGACCCCAACATGAAAAGAGGACAGGACTGGACTGGCTTCTCACCCCTCCCCTCAGACAAATAACACAGCACTTGGAAGACTCAAATTAGATGCTTGCTTTGTAAAGTTTATTGACAACTGTTTGGTCCCAACACACAAAACAGCACTTGAACCACAAAAAAAGTGTTCAAACAAAGTAGACAGTTAAGAAAAACATCTCTTCCCCCAAGCCCGATCCGAAACAGTGCAAGATGGGAAAGGGGGTTGTGGTGATAACTTTTTCTTTTTCTTTAAACAGATATATCTAATCTGGTAAATCTTACCACCCAGAAATAATTTCTTTGTCTTAATTCTCATACATCATTTCATTAAGCCTCTGGATAAAAAAATAGATAGCAATCAGACTGGCCATTGTGGAGTACATCAGGGACACAACAAGCTCACGCTGTATTTATTCTCTCATCTTCCAACAGCGACGGTTAGAGTCACACGCATCCCACACTGGCTGGCGACTCCAGCGAACGGTTGGGTTTGACCATACTCCCACGACAGTGCACACCTGCAGGCTCTTCTTTGACGGTTGCCCAAAGAAACTGCTCTGAGACTGTTCCTTGTGACTTGTAATGGTACCTCTGACGTTTTTAAAGTCAATCCTGCCCTAGGTGAGCAAAACTAAAGTCCAAGAGTGCAAACTCAGCCTTAAGTCTCAGAATAAGGCAACTGAGGTTCTCGACACCAACTTTCTCACACTGGTTAAAAGCTTCTTAAAAAAAAAAAAAAAATTGGACATCTGCATTTGACTTCCTGCCGTACTATGTCTGTAGGAGAAATGCCTTCATTTGGAGAGGCTTCGCAGAGGGCCATACTGCTTGCAAGCTTTTCCAGGGTTGTTCCATCTCGACTGGGGCCATGTGTGGAAAACTGGGAACCAATGGCTTCATTTTAAAGATTTTGGGGAACAAAAACCCGACTTGTAAAAATCTCTCTGGAGCCCTTGTTTTGTGGCATTTTATCAAAATGCTGGCTATGAAATCAGAGCCCATTTTCTGGCTTTCTAGAAATTACAAAATATAAACATTTCCCCCAAAAGAAACCATCTCAGTAGTGGAAGACCTTATGCCAACAGGTTCTTTCTGCTCTATGAACGAATCTGCCTTTTTGCCCAACAAATACAACCCATTGTAAATGTCAGGTTTCTCCAAGAGGGGTGAGAGACCACCCGTCACCGGATGCCTCCGCCACCTCGAGGCGAAGGTCATTCCACAGGGCAGTGCTCCCTCAAAGGCTGGCTTTTCCCAAATGCCAACATCAGACACCACAAAAAAACCAAACATGCTTCCAACAGCGAGAAATAACAGTAAAAGCAGACACTATTAAAAGACACTGAGCCCCCCCCCCGCCACACACACACTCATACATAAAGCTTCCCAACTACCAAAACCAGGTTTTAAAATTACAAATACAAGGTTAAGATGATCAACCTTGGCCTTCACACGTAGAGATTGAATTTCTGTCTCTTCCTAGTGGAAAGAGTATCGGTATTGCTCCTGTTAAAGCACCTCGCCCCTCAGCTCTGATTTGTAATTTATGCATTTCATGCATATTTTAGAAAATCAGACTCTCTTCCCAACATTGCCGTTCGACACACAATACTGTGTGCTGGAATTCAAATGCTGACTTTAAATTCATGACACCAAGACCATCTCCTTTTCCTTAACCTAATCCATGTCACACTGGAACGTAACATAAAAGGGAAGCTTAAAACATCTTCAACTTTCTAGAAAGCTCCTACATGGCACCCCGAAGCGGAAAGTGTTAAAAAAATTTGTGATGAAGCCACATCTGTCAACTACAGACATAGTTCAATAGAACAAACAAGGCACGCTTACAAGTCACATGGAAGCCAGGAAGCTTCATATCCAACCCGAAAATATATTCTCCCCACCTCGCCCGCCCTTCCGCTTCCATGTGGGAACGCGCAGGGACGCGGAGCCGGCTCTGTGGGATCACACACCATGCACTTGATTCGTACTGTCTGGAGACACCAGTAAGCAAAGGCTGAGAGGCTATCTTATGCTACATGTAAGATTCTACCACAGATGTGGCTTTAATGGCAGTAAAACCACTCCCTTCTAGCTGAGGTCTCACTGCTTTCTCCTTACAGAACACCATTACATTTCAGAATAATTAAGAAAAATTTGGTAAGATATATTAAGGATTCCTTAACAAATGCCAGGAGGTTTTTGGGTTTTTTGTTGTTGTTTTGGTTTGTTTTTTCCAAATAATTAGGGGAGGAGCAAAAGAAAGAAATACTTCAGCTCTAAAGCTGTGTTCAATGTAAAAGAAACCAAACATTATGGGATACATCTGAAGATGAACTGGCTTCTAGGGGGTTTGCATTGAAACAGAAAAGGCTGTGTTTTTCGAACCCACTTTTGTGTGCAGAATCAGACAGTGTTTCCCCAGCCTAATTCTATGTCAAAACGCGAGTCAAAGCTTGGTTATAGGTGCAAAGGAAAAATTGGCTGCCAATTTTACTCTATTTTTGGGTTGCTTTTTGGCTGGGCTTTCCACGGGGTCCTTGCTGGGCAGTGACTCTGAGGTTTCTGAGGAGGGGCAGGGAGGCACTGGGACAGCTGCTGAGATGCCAGAGAAGCTGGAGTCCGAGGCTGGGCTGTTGTTCTTTACTGGTACTGGAATTTCAATGTTCTCTTCTTGGTTTAAAATCATAATTTCTGTAAACACCAAAAAGCAAACACATTCAGTTCTAGGACCTGCAAGACGTGTGGGGTTTCTCCCTTGTTATCATCTCAAAAAATATTTTTAAAAATCACCCACCAAACATCATGCCCATGCTGCAATTTACATATCAGCTATGTGGCCAACACGTCACGTGAGTCAGATATTTATAAATAAATGGCACCTCAGCTCTCTCTCCCTGGGATTACAAAGTTTTAGAAAGCTTCACTTTGGGTTATAACTCAATGGGCAACGGTGCAGAAGCATTTTTTCCCCAGTTTGGAGTCTCTGCCCATTCACTGTGTCAGGTCGTTAAAGACCCATGAGCCTCATGGGGCCTAAAGACTTTCCCACGAGGAGGGGCCTCAGTGTCCGGAAGCCCCGGCGCGTTCCGCTGACGGAGGGCTGTGCCCTGCGTGGATCTAAGGCGGGCAGAGACAGGGAGAGAAGTGCACAGAGGCAGTGAAACACAGCCATTTTTCCTTCAGTGTTTACAGGCTGCTCTTTTTCTGGCTGAGCCCCGAGTACTGGGCCTGCTGCAGACGAAATGCACCAAAGCTGCAACCCCACGGGCGCACTGCTATCCGTCTCCCGCCGGCTCCCGCCGTGCCTCCCAGAGGGGCACACTCCTGCTTCTGTCACACGTTACATCTTCCAGTGGCAGAAGGTTTCCCTACCTCCTACTCTCCCGATAAACAGCCTCAGTTCTTTCACTGGGCAACACGAGGCTGTCCCTGGCTTCCCCCTGGAAACAGTAAGCAGAGTGGAGAAAAACCCATTGTGGCAGACGAAGGCGACAGGGAAGGTGCCTCAACAGAGCAGATGGGCCACCTCTCCCGAAGTCAGGTGATACAGCAAGACAAGGGGCCTGGGGTTCAAATCTCAGCTCGGCCACTTCCAGTCCGGCAGCCTGGGGCCAGCGTGGTCTCTGGTGGCAGGCCAAGCCGCGCCCTCCGTCGCCCGCCCTGCAGGGCTGCGGCGAGGATGAGGTGTGAGCGTGTCTGGGAGCCCAAGTTCGGGGCCAGCACCAGATCGGTGCTCGCCACAGCCAGCTTCCAGTCCCTCCTCAGCTCCCCGTGCAGGGTCCGGAGCTCAAGTCACAGACGGCCCTCCCTCCCCTTCTCATACCCCTCACGAGGCCCCGACCCGGAGCCATCATTCACCTCTAGGCCGGACCAGAGCTGCCGTGCACGCACGTGGGGCACCGGGTATGCCCGCGAGCTGCTGCACCTTTGCGCAGGAAGGCAACACAGGCCCGGGGAAGCCCTCCACACATGCATCCGTGGGCTTCATGGCCCAGCTGAGTCATCCTTCCAGACCCACCATTGTTCCCGGGCTGGAGGCTCCCCAAGCCACCCCGGGCTGTGAACCCAGCTTTGCAGGAAAACTGACCGAAGAGAGGGTCCTGAATAATCGGCGCAGGTATACTTGTGCCTGAAAATATAGTTTCTCCCCACCTCCATCAAACTTTTCCCTTACTGGCATTGTGCTTTGATTTTTTAACCCAGGGAAAACCCCCGCAACCACACAGTGCATCCTACCAGAAGGCTCTTGAGGGTGTTCCTCAAACTGAATGAGATCAGCAGATTGGAGGATGACAGGATCTGGTCTCAGCTGAGGGGACGGCAGGCACGAAGGGACGGGTGCACACAGAAGGTCCACAGGGGAGTCGTTGGTCAGGCGGAGAAGCTCCTGCTCTGTCTGGTGGGGCCCTGGACAGAGAAGGCAGGCCGGGGCTCGACTCAGGACAGCAGTCTATCACAAGTCTGTGCCTGAGGCTCTCTGTCTCAGCCTTCAAGATGAAAAAGGCCAGAAAGTACTCAAGAACTCAAGGTTAACAACAACAACAACAAAAAAGCCATTAACAGAAAGGTCTGGATCACTCTTTGGTAAATGAAATGCCACAAGCCAGGATCTCCTGATTTCTAAAAAAAAAAAAAACAATGCCCCAAGGGGCAGAAGCCAAAAAAAAAAAAAAGGTTCCACAATCAGCATCCAAAGAGAGGAAATAAGTCCTTAGAAGGGGTATAAAGTAGTTAAAATGAGTAAAAGCTCTGAATCCTAAGACATGGGCCCTAGTTCTATCACTCCCTCACTAAATGATCCTGGTTAAGCTCTTTAACCTCCTGGAACTTGGGTCCCTCATTTGGAGATGGGAGGTAACTTCCCTGCAGGCTGTGCTGACAGCTGAGGGCGGGGAGCTCCACTCCCATGCTTTATAAAATGTGAAATGTGTCCTCCACATACAGGCCACAGTAACACTTCCAATTAGTGACTTAGAGAGTCGTACAAAGATAAAAGTCTCATATGCAGCAATGGATTCAAAAGTCTTTCAATAAAGTTACAATTGCTACAGAGCTCAAGTCAGTCGATTTCTATCTAAAAAGGAGGCTCCACATAAAATCTGAGTGGATCAATGTTGTTTTGCGTATGATTTATGCATTATTACCAAGTCTTTCCCAAGCAGGCCCTGTGACAAAGACTCTCTCGATCCAGCTTGAACCTGGCCCTTTTGTGTCCTCTTCTCCACTAGGCCTTGACCTTGGCCTTCCATGTCTGTCCGGTCCTTACCAAGCCCAGTCTTAGGCATCTTGGGAAGTCAGTTCTTCCAGAACTCCCCACCCCTGCTCTCTGACCAAGGCCCTCATTCCTCCAACCCTGATGTCTTCCCCTGGGTGATGTGCCCCCCACCTCTCCCCTCGCGCTGCTCCTTGACGAAAACATCCCCGTTCATCCTTGTACTCAGAGTTGACTTCCATCTCCCTCCCCGGGTGCAGCAGAGTTGACCCTATTGCAATAGTCTTAAAATACTGCTTAACAAATATCAGAAAAACTTTTTCCTCTGAAGTCTGAACTGGGCTGACATATTGTCATTACAGGGGTGTCAACATCCTTCAAGAACCTGAACCAGGAACCATAAAATGCTCTGAAATGCAGGCTCATTTTTTTGTTACCAACCGTACACCAGACTGCTTTGGAGAATACAGGAAGGCGGCCCACTGTGGTCCTTGCCCCCGCCCACTCCCAGCCCACACCCCCGCCAGTTCTTCGAGAATTTCGCAAGCTTGGCTGTCTTGTGCCTCGCTTACCATCGCTGCCTGCTCCAAGTTCGAGTTCCACGGCTGTGCGAGATTTGGGCACCTCCGGGAAGCACTCTGTGGCCGAGGGCTGGTTTTCAGGATGGGTGGGGGCAAGCCCGAGTGAACTCAAACGACCTGGAGGACCAAGAGCAGCCGTCAGAAGGAAAAGTCAGTGAGAGAACCGGGATTTCTGAAGCAGGGAGGGGACGGGTGCTTACTTACTTTTCATGTCATTTTTTAACACTACAATTCTCTTATGACCATGTCCTTTTATCCAGACCACCTGCACACAAGACATACTACTGGTTAAGCAGTGGAAAAGCAGGGGAATTAAACCCTAAATCCAGGAAGAATGGGACCTGTTGCAGTGACCTAAATATATTAGAAGTTAGAAACTAATGCCAAGGAAAATTTTTCTATACTTTCTTTAGCTTTTAAAGTAACAGAAGCTGGCAGAGACACGCCCCTTACAAGAAGACGTGTAGTCTAAAAATGGTGAGACTGAGCTTTAAAAATATTCTTTAGGGCTCTCAGAAAGACCATCTCCCCAACACCAGTTCTGGTCTGTTAAAGGAGACAGTTCTCACACGAGTCCTTCCTATTTTCTCCAGAAACTAAATATACCCTAAGAGAACTAATGGGGACCTTCCAGACCCCTCAAACTAAGCTCCTGGTCCTAATCCTGAAACAGAGTCCTCTCTTCAACTCCTCCAGCCAAGCAAGGCCCCTGGCTCCCAGAACTCGCCCACATGCATCTGCACTGAGTCCCAATCTCAGCCTCCCTGGGTCCTTCACTGCCTCTTGCATTACTTTCAAGAGGGTTCGGTCCCGTTACACTCTCACCTGGGCTCCAGCCATGGCAAGGGTCCTCGCCAAGCTCCCTCCTCCCCCACTGCTACTGTGGACACAGCAGTGACACGGTGCTTTTCACACACAAACCTGAGGCTCCCCACTTCTCTCCTCCAGGTCCTTCTGCTCACCCGGAGGAGCAAGGCCCTCTGTAAGTGAGCTCTCACTGCACTGGTAGGCCCCGGCCTGGTTTTTAATGCCCTCAATGTTCCACGCTACTTGTCACTGCTTTGCATCTGCTTATGCAGTCTCCTCTGCCCAGACTGTCCCCTCTTCATCACATGGTTCACGTCTATAAATCCCTGACATCTCAGCTCTGGAACAAACCCCGAGCCTGGGCATGGGCCCTGCCTGTGGCCCTCCTCAGGGTACCCATGGAGGGCTGCGCGGACCACACTGCCTTGTCACCTGCCAGGTGCCCTGTCCATCACCTGACACCTTTCTGAGGAAGGGGCTGCAACTTACTCACCTGGCATATACAGATTTAATAAAGGCTTGCACAATCAATGCTAGAATCATTCCTTTAATGCCAACAGTACGTTTTTCAAAATGCCTGCCATTTCATTAGCCTGGCAGCATTTCATGACTGTGTTCAGGAGAGTGAGCCTGGGGCTCTCCAGGAAGACACTCTCCAAGAAGGTCCGAGAATACCCACCTGAGGGATTGCTCCCAAGAGCTCTTCCACGCTACTGTAGCCATAGGTCTTGGGTTGCAGTGTTTCTCCGACATACTTGGTATAGGCCACGGAAAACTCATGGAGAAAAAGCTGCTGGTAGTGGTAAGTATGAAGTAAAGACCGCACATTCTTGGCAAACAAATACAGGTTCGTGAGCCTCACACATTCCTCTGTCTTATCATTAGTGAAAACCTGGTTCAAGAGAAAAACGCAGCATTAGAGACTTCCAGAGTGGGATGCCTGGGCGACTCAGCTGGTTAAGTGTCTGCCTTTGGCTCGGGTCATGATCCCAGGGTCCTGGGATCAAGCTCCATGTCTGGCTCCCTGCTCAGCGGGGAGCCTGCTTCTCCCTCTGCCTCTGCCCCTCCCCCTGCTTGTGCACACGCGCTAACAAATAAAATCTTAAAAAAGAAAAAAAGAAAGAAACTTCCAGAGTGACTGGTCTTGCCCCGCCCCCCTCCAGGGAGTCTGGGCCTTCAGCTGAGAGTGAAAAGGCACCAAGTCAACTTGAAAATGGGCACTAAGCTTGGGAGGAGGGGGCTGTCATTCAAGGATCTCCTCACAGAAAGTGCTACCTTAGAGCAAGCTTCAATTCTATCTGTGCATCTAAGATGGCAGAGGTCTGGGGAAACAGCATTGTCAGAAAGGAAGGAAACTGGCAGATATGGGGTCTCAAACAAAAGGAGGCAGTGAGGAGGGGAGACAAATCCCCAGAGTGAGAGGACTGCATCAGACAGCGGGGACTGAGGCCAACGAACCCCCTTGCCCAAAGTGGGGATCCAAGGAACTCTATGCTGCAGGATGACCACATTAATGTTCTTTAAGGGAAGAAACCCCAAAGTTCTTCTGTTTGACCTCAAGTAAACAAATTTCTTTACCATAAACCTTTCCAGAGTCTTTAATGTGCACTGACAATCTCCAAGGGAAGGGATACTTCCTACTCTGAGCTGGCCACAGAAAGCCTTTTGTCTTGGATCCGTTTACGCTACCTAGAACCACTGTTCACATAAAAGATAATTAACAGAGCTCTGAAAATGTTGGATGTGATATTGTGAGGACAAACCAGAGCTGGACAGTAGTTAGAGTGGGAAAAATAGTTTTTATTCAAGAACTACCGCAATAAAAGGAAAGAACCTCAGTGCAGAATTGGGCTCCATTCTGAATACAACGAAGAAAAGTGAAGATTTATAGCTAAGGAGGGAGGGGGTATTGGTGGATGGAAAATTACCAAGACATCCAAGGTTGCAGTCTAGCGTAGAAGGCGGCTCCCAAGAGCCTGGCCTGAGTTTGGCCGAGGAGAGAGCTTCTGTCAATATCTCTGAATTATTTAATTACCAAGCACATGGTTATATGGTAACAATGGGATAGCACTCTTTTTCCACCTTGCTGGACTTTCCTGGTTAATACCCTATTTACAATCATTGTCTCTTGGGGGACTGTATTAGTTACGTTTTTGGTGTTAAAGTTGCTTTGGCTTCATAAAATCAAGTGGTGAGGTTTTCTGTTTTTGTTGTCTTTTTGTTTTGTTTTTAATATGGCCTAGAATGGTTTTTAGGAAGTTGGGAGTAATTCTTTAAAGTTAGTTAAAAATCCAACTGTTAACAACCTATCTGGTCCTGGTGTCTTTTTCACTGGTAAAATTTCAATGATCTTACAGCTTCTCTTGTGGTAACTGGTCTAATTTTTTAAAAAAGATTTATTTATTTGACAGAGAGCACAAGCAGTTGGAACGGCAGGCAGAGGGGGAGAGAGAAGCAGGCTCCCTGCTGAGCAAGGAGCTTGATGCAGGACTTGATCCCAGGACCCTGAGATCATGACCTAAGCCAAAGGCAGATGCTTAACTGACTGAGCCACCCAGGCACCCCAACTGGTCCAATTTTTAACTTCTTGGGTCAATTTTGATAACTTGGCCAGGGGAGGTTTTTTTTTTTACATCCGTAATATTCTCCTATGATTCTTTTTTTTAAGTGCTATTCTTAAAAGACTACTCGGGTGACCAGCCTTCCTTTCTGACCAGTGTCTGATTGATGACAGTCCCCCTCCCTGCCCCCACACCATCCATCTTGTCAGAAAGCGCTAACAGTAGCCAACTGCAGCCTGGCGTAGCACGAAAACACCCCAGCTCAGGACTCAGGAGGCCACGGCTTCCCTCTTAGCTGGGCACTCATTTGGGCAATGTGCCTGTAACCCTGCTCTGACTTGGTTTGTTCAAGTACAAAATGACCGACTGGTCCCTTCCCGCTCTACATCCTCTAACCCAGACCATCAGGTGCCCAGGAACAGTTCAGTAGATCTCAGTAAGATGGCTCTACAGAACCGTTAGCATTCGTACCTCCACTAAGTAGGGCAGACTCTTCAGAAGTTCAGTCAAGGTCATGAATCCATATTCACAGGGGTTGAGGGGAGCACTGTGGGTAGTTTCATAATGTTTCTTGAGCTCATCGACAGAAAGGTGGGAGGCTCCTTCCCAAGACATCAGCAACACCAGTAGCTGGGCAGTGAGGGCGCGCAGGGACTTGCGGTTGATCAGCTGAATCTGTTTGCCAGACTCCATGTCAGCAATCTGGGGGAACAAGAGTCCCAGAGTTTCCCAGCTCGAGAGCGGCACACTGGGCCACGGCCACCTGGCTCAGCTACTATCCTTCGGGCTAGGGAGACCAATAGAGGGAAAACCTCTACTTCCTTCTCTTACCCGTAAGCGAGTGCGTGAGTTTGTTTCCGGCTGCTGTGGGACACCAGAGTGGGAACTGTACCCTCCCTTTCTCCTGGTCCACAATCAGACAGCCATTGATACCAGCCCTGTCTTAGGGCACTCATTCCACTCCCCTATGGAAGGAGGGAAGACTGGCGAGCTGACATCCAGGGGCCCAAGACCCCGAACTGAAGGTTTCTGTGCTCAAGGGGGTAGTGTGGACTGCAGGTGACAGTCTACAGGGTGCTCTGCAGACTGACTCACCCCACCTTTGTGTCCCAGAGTAGACTGAAGGTCCACTCTGACTTAAGGCACCCGCATTCCTCTAGTCCATCATCACTAGCCAGCAAGTGGGTATTTTCCTATTTGACTATATTTTTCTCCCTTGCTTCTCGAGGAGATACAGGGTTGGAGTGATGAAGTGCACTGGAAGGGGGACCTTCTGGAAAAGACACAGGTTAGCAATGGGAGACCAAAGAGCATGTGAAGAAACAGGCATGTGCTAACCAAGAGCTGCAGGCCTTGGGCAGAGGAACAAGTCTGCTGAACTGAGCCGTCACTGGACTTAAAATAGGCAGAGCTTCAGTATGCGCGTGTTTAGGTGCTGGTACGCAAACCAAGTTTACTGTTACAGAACTGCCCCCTGTCTGGTTTCCCAGCCAAGACCACAGGTCTCAGTGCCTCAGTATGGGCTGGGTAATCACAGGCTCGTACTCCCTGGGGCTCTGGGTTCTCAGAGGCAGAGAGAGGTGAGTAGCACTTGAGAAACCATCACAATCCCAGTGTGTCCCTGGTTTGGACGCTCACCCAGAGCTGAGGCAGGAGGTTAGTGCGTAGGCCCCCCACCCCACTTATCATGGTTACAGATTTGTGGAGATTTCGAGGACAGGTTTCCTCTGCAGACGCAGGATTTAATCAATCAACAGATTCAAGGCTCGGGGAATCCGAGCCATATTCTCAGATGCCCAGACCACTGCTACAACTCCAGCCTTTCAAGGAGAAAAAAACAAAAACCTGCTCTTTCGATGCTTAGAGAAAGCTCCTGATTCTGAACCCATGCTACACAACTGAACCAACTGGGGAGCTTACAAAAAATGCCAATGCTCAGAGCGCACTGGGACTGATTACACCAGAATCTCGGAGGCAGGAGTGAAGTTCGGGCATCAGCATTTCCCAGAGGCTCCTGGGAGAGGCTGTAGAAGGCAGGGCAGCACACCAGAGCCCCCCTGATCCCTCCCCATGCTGACTGCTGACGCCCCAACTCCCCACTCACTCACCCTCGCTCATCAAAATCTCTGGTCACGGCTTAGACCTACAATCCACTGGAGCCCACAACTGCCTTCGCACGCTGGGTGACCGAGCATCCAGGGGGCCTATCCCACCCCGTGGCCTTTCCGTTCCTCATCCACCCCATCTCCAGGCACATCCTCTCCTACTCAATTCCACTGCAGACCCCCAATCCGAGGTCACACTTGCGATTACCGGCTACCGCCCACTTCCCACATAGCTCACGCAAACCTCCCACGCAGGCCGCACGAGAAAGGAAGCCTGGGGTAAGACGCTGGGGTGGGAAACCGGAAAGAGATTCCAACAATCACCTCTTCTTAACCCCTTCTCCAGCTTCACCTGCACGGACTCCCATGTCCACCCAATTCAAGTCCTCTCCCTTCATTACACGTTCCTCTTTCATCCACCTTGGCTCTGATGGGCCATTAATTCATTGCCTTTCTGGTCATATTCTGGAAGCTCCTTTGTCCCTGTGTCTTTTCTTTGCACCATCTGGCAAACTCCCACCTTCAGCCCAACTGTCTGCTTCCCCGGCGCCTGCACCAAAGCAGCCCTGCACCACTGAGCGTCCCCACAGTAGCGCCACGGGCCCCGCCATCTCCCTGCGGAGCTCCCCCTACTCCCAGCACCCCTGCCTGAGGTCCCAGCAGGTCCCACGCACCACGGTGGCCACTTCAATCGTGAATCCTGTCTCTTTCAGGTACTTCCCTCCTCTTCCCAGGGAGGAACATCAAACTTACTGCCTCCACCCTACACTCCCTCCCTTTGGTCACAGTACTAATATCAGGGCTGTGCCTCCTTCCGCTGAACGCCGATTCCCAGGCCTGCCTCCTCAGGACCCCCCAACCTGCCACCCTGTCTTGCCTTTGGGTATTTATCTTCTCTTCCTCAAGCAGATCCTTCCCTGTGGCTCTCACATATGCTCAAGTCTCTCCACTGGGAGCAAAGCAGCCGCCCGAAAGCGCACTGGCCCACTCCGTCCTGCAGTCTCCTCTCAACCACGCTCTCTCCTCCCTCACAAGCACACAAGCCGAAAAGCTGTCTGCATGACCGGTCACCACTGTCGTGTCCCACTCCTCCTGCCTCAACCCACTCCCATGTGCCTTTCTTTGGTCCCCACACACTGGTGCTGATGCCGTCTTGGCCAGCAACCCTAAGCCCCCCCCCACTTAGCTAGGCCTGCAGGTCACGCTAGTCCCTGCCTTCACCCGTCCTCCCAGTAGGCGGCACCGGGAGTGTGCCACTCTCCTAGTGTCCTTCCTGCTCTCCGGCAGCTCCTTCTCAGTCTCCTGTGGAGGTTCTCGTCCCTTTAACTGGACAGTACATAACTGGATTCCTTCCAGATCTGTAACTGGGGCTGCCCCCACTTGGTACATTTTCCCTTTCACTTCTCCCTCCTTATAGTGAGTTTTCTTGGTCCCGTGCAGGAGGCAGCTTGAAACGGTCCAGCTGCTCTACCTGGGACGGGGAGGGTCAGCTCAGCCCGGGGCGGGAAGAGGAAGTTAGCCTCCCCGACCTCCTGTTAACAGCAACAAAGACAGCTGTGAGCCCAGCCTGCTCCTAAATCTACTCAAGTCTGTCAGAAGCTGGGAGGGGGCAAGAGGTCTGTGATTACAGTCTCCCCACAACTTCAGAGACCACAGTCCACTTAGACGGATACTCCTGAGAAGAAACACCCTCGGATAAAACAGAAACCTCAACGGCTCAAAGGGACGTTACTGTGGCAAGGCCTCTAAGAAACACAGAAGAGCAAGTGCAGAACTCTTACCTGCCAAACCAGAGTCATCTCCTGCTACCTAGTAACGTATTAATGGCGTACGAAGCGCATGCTGTGAAGGGGTGACTAGTGCCAGGGGTGAACGAGGAAATGCTAAGCATAGGTAAACACCCCGGAGAAGATGCTGCCGCCACGTTTTCATCCATGAAAATAAAAATCTGCTCACCTTTACCACATGGCAGAGTTTCTGTGTTAAAGCCGAAATTGAACTGACATCGTAGTCTTGGAGACGAAATGTGTAACCAAAAGTTTTAGCATATTCTGTAAGCAGATCTGTCATCATAAGGCAATTATCTTTTTGGGACCGAAGGAGTTTGACAAACTGGGCAGCCAAAGCTTTGAATCGTTCCACCTCCGTCAAAGTGAGGATCTTTTCTTCTCCACATTCCAATACCTTGGAAAACACACAGGAGGAGGAAGGCGAGAGTGAACAAGCTGGGATTGTTCATGGAATTCAACGGCATATAAACGTATACACTTAGTAACTAAGAAGCACTCTGGTGTTCTTTCATAGATACAGAGCTTCAGTTTTGTAAGATTTTACTACTACTGAAATGCACACTTAAAAAAGGGTTAACTAGGTAATGTGTATTTTATCACATACAAGAAAAATTTTAAAAGCACTTTAGGGGTCAAAAATAGTAATGCTAATAAAATTAACAACAGAAATCTGGTTCAACTTCACAGTGGCTTAACAGCTAAGCATTCATATCACCTCATATACTCATCCCACCGCCAACCTAAGAGATTTGAAAAGTATGGTGCTAATGGAAGAATATTCCATTTAAGAAATCGAACTATTTAATCTCTTTTTTCAATAATTACCCTGAAACAAATTTAAAGGATGATTTCTTTCTTTATTGAAGGAAAAAAACCCCACATTTACCTAAAAATACTAACGAGCCAACAACCTAGCTTCTCTGATCAAAATGTTTAAGGTTTTCCTCTTATTTCCTAAATCACTACTTCCCAGGAAAAATAGACCTGGAAAAGAACAGCTCCCCCCAATATTGTTCAGAAAAATATAACTGGAATCTCTTCACTCACTTGTAAAATATCAGGTATGGCTTCAAAAAGTTCAAGTAGTTTGGTGAACCCGTAGTATGCGAGTTTGCACTGCCGGCCAAAGTGGTGGTGGTAGGAAGGGATAAATTTGTTAAAGGGCATCCGGAAGTGCGGCTGGTGCCGTAGCAAATCAACAACATCCTTGGAGAACTGTTTTGTCCTTTCTATTTCATCCTGGGTACGCTCTTACAAAAGAAAAAATAAAAAAATAAATCACAGTCTTCTTCCATTCATTTGTGTTAAACCTGATTGCCGGGTTAGTCCTATGCACAGATGACAAGAAATGCCATCTTTGCGTTCCAAACACCCACAACCTAAAACAAACAGGTTCATGTTCTCTCTGTGCAGAATGGTTTTCAAACTCTCTCGAGGGCACACCACCAGGAAGCTAGGAGACTATTATGGTATACTATGAAAGACACATATACACTCATGTCATTTGGCCTTGCAAGCTGGACATTATTTCTCTAGCTCCCCGTCCCCCACCCCATCCCATATATATGAGCATGACACACTTCCAGCTCTCCATACTTGAAAAAGTAATCTAGACATTATTTCTATAAAGCTGCATTTCTGAATAGCCACACGCTTTTTGTGTCGTCTTCTGATCTTCAGTTAAAATTGCTAGCAGAAAAGAGTACAGGCAACAAAACTTTAACAAAAATACAGGGGAGAAAAAGCTTCAACTTTAATTTTTGTTTCTATTAATTTGTAAATGAGAATCGGAAAACTGACATTACTCCAAAAGCTTTGGAGTATTATGATTTCATGAACGTCAGCGTTCTGCAGGAACAGAGGTTAAGAAGCACTGATTAATGATACTGGGAGAACAGGACAGTAGGTAGATGTAATTTTACCTATCCCAGCTCCCAGACCTCAACCAGAATGACCGAAATGTGAAAGATAAAACATCTGCTTGGATCTTCTTCCTTCTCAAGAATGCACAGTCAAGTAGCTCAGTTAAAGAGAAGAGACAAGCAACAGCCATGGTAACTGACTCTCAGCTGGATAATTATGGTGGCAACAGCCACAGACAGGCTGAAGAAAGCATTTCAAGAAAGTGCCGCTTATGCCCTTCTTTTCCCTACAGTGAATTCTAAAAAATCAGCTTGCTTTTTTTGTTGGCAAGTTGCTGCACCTGCTCTGAAGAACCTCAGATCCACTGCACAGCGAGAGTTCTCACAATGCACTTTCCATGGAATCTTCAAGAACCATGGAGGTGGCGGAAAGGATACAGGAGTCTGCATTAAGGTAAACACTGAGATATGCAACTGTCTTCCAGCACATTTAAGTCAACATACCTCTCTTGGGGATACAAATCACCATTTCATTATCTTGTTGGGACAAGCAGATGGTTGTGTCTGGTATCTCTGATACGATATCGATCAACTCACAAACACCGTATTCGGTGACATCCCAGTCTTTTGAGAAACACCTAGAATTTAACCAGGAAAATGGGTGAAGAATGAGAAATATCACTTGCTAAATTAACTTTTAAGTCTTCCTCAAAAATGCTAAGTAGAAAACGTTAGATGATTATTTTAAATTTGTGGGGAAAAAAAGTGTTTTGAAATATTTGCTTTCCTTTTCTTCCCCCTTCTCATCGACTCACCAATGATAAGCCTGTGAGAACTCCCTTACGACGACCTGTTTGCTGGCTTGGGATTTGAGAAGTTTTAGTAAATCCTGAGTAAAGCGCTTCACCTGGGCCCTGTGGGTAAGGGTCAACAAACGTTTGGAGCCCATTCCGAGAATCTGCAAATCAAACACTTTGATTATTTATACTTGTCAGACCTTGGCACGTACTGACTCTCTGGCTGATGGCATTCTCTCTCTCCTGTTACTGCTCTCAGAGAACAAGTCCTTTTATACATGGTATCTGCATTTTCAAACGCATGAAGATCGACAGAAGGTAGATGGTCAAAATGAACAACTGTTCAAGTGCCTGGGACCCCCACCCCCTTTTTGTTTGCCCTATATAGCCCTTCTCAAATAGTCATGAGTATAGAAATAAAAAGCATATTATTAATCTGGGCAACTAATTTTGTCTACAAAAGACAACTAAGGTGTTCCAGGACATTTTATAAGTGGGAAGCTGTTTTATAGGCAAGAAGCTATAGAACACTCTAAATTAATAGGGCAGACTCCTTAGGAACCAATGCTAGGCTCCAGCCCAGGAGCTGCTCTTTAACTCATTGATGAGAGCTAAGCCCGTGTTCAGGGCCCCTCCTCTGTAAGAGTAAACAATCCTGGAGAGGCCTGGGCTAGGAAGAGGAAGGTGAGTCTACAGAGATTAGAAGGCAAATACTCCTCAGTGCTCTTAAGGGGTTCCTTCTTCATGTTTAAACTCAATAGTTTTCTGGAAAAACTGAGACGCCACCTTGAATGAGGTTACCAGCTACTCTGTTTCTTGGAAGGAGCCAAAGCCACAGAGGAACGTTCCTGTCATTAAGTAATCTTTAAGCTTTCCTTACCTGCAATACATGAGGCACAGCTTCCAATAATTCTATCAGCTTGGAATATCCATAGTCTGATACCCGACACTGCTTTGCAAAATGGTGGTGGTAGGACGGGATGAAATTACTAATGGGGATGACACAGGACGGTTGGCTCCTCAGCAGGTCAATCACTTCCCTGCTGAACTGGATCAGCTGGGGGTTGCCCACAGGACTTTTAGACCGCAGAAGCCAAGGGTCTAGACAGGGGGAGAAAAACGGAACATGCCTAAGACAGGATTTCACCCCTGAAAGAAAGTTAACTAACGTCACCCTCCCTCGCCTGAGCTCAACCATGACCAAAGAGATGAGACCAAAGGGCTGCTTTACTTCTCAGCATCTATACTCAGGTCCCATATAATCTATGGGCTAGCCCAACCTCTTTATGGGCTGGCAGATGCTTTACTACTACTTTTCAAAGTCCTGTAGTCAAAGCAAAGCATAGTTCAGCAGTGTTAAAGCAGAAGTGATATTACACAGGACGTTTGCAGCTTATAAACTGGTTGTATTTCAAAGATTCATTTGTAACTTGGTCCCATGGAACATACTTTCCCACAGAAACAAAGTTATAGATGGGCAGCAAGCAGGTAGCCCAGAAAAGCCTAACAAACCTGTAAGGAAGCTGAAAACATTGCTCAGGAAACCATGGAAAGCGGTTAACATAAAACTAGCTGATATAAAACTAAGAAAGAGGTTCTTGCATTTATCTTGAATGACCATGTAATTAAGAAAGTTTTAATTACAAAAGTATAATCGGATGGAAACCTTTCTACAAGACTGGCAGGCTAACGAGAAAGGAGAAAGAGCACAAGTATATGGGAGCCTGCGTGGTCTAGGACTGAGGGGAAAGGCAGGAGAAAGTGGTAAGCAGCTCTGATACAAACATTTTTCCTTCCCTGGTAATCCTTACCTTTCTTCCCATAGGGGGAGGAGCAAAGGAGGAAGTGTTTGGGGTCAAAGAGAAGGACATATCCACAGGAAGGCAACAATTTTCAGGGCTGTTCACAGGTGGCGGGGTTAGACACCTGCAGCTCAGGGGAAGCCCAACTCAGAAACTCACCCAAAGCTGGGTTTACATTTCCTGGTCCTTTACACTGGGAGCTAAATCTGTTTTCCTATTTATCAAAGTCAGAAACATTGACCAAAATGAATTTCAAAGGTAAAACTGCATTTAGAGGTATTTCTTTCAAATACCTGAAACGATTTTTAAAAGGCCAGTCAACTGACAAGCCAAAAAGCTTCACAAAATTAGGTAGGGCTAAAGAGATTTGTAACTGTGAAATGTGGGTTTTTAAAATTTTTTTTACAGAATTGATGCTGGTCCTTGCAAAAAGTCTGGTTCTGCCAGACCTTCAGCACTTTAGAGAGTAGTTTCAGCTTTTAAAAGATCAAAGGAGACATTCACGGTGCTTTGCGCTTGGCAAACAGTGCTGCCGTACCAGATAAAAGCCAGCAAGCTCCTCTCACGGTAGCCAGTGGCTCAGAAAAACCGAAAGCCCGACTCCTACCCGTGTTGGGAGGCGGGGGCTTGTTGTGAATCCATTTGACCACTTTGACGCCATTCTGTGCAGTGGCGATGTTGACACCCGGAACACAGGTGATGAGGTGTTCCAAGGGAACACCCCCTTGAGTCTCCTGCACTACTTCCAGTTCACCAAACTCGGCAGCATAACAATCTGGAAAGCTGAAGTGGGGGAAAAGAAGGCTGATTAAAATAATGGAAAAGCAAAGCACCTGCTAAACAGAAATCTTTAACATATCCATTCATAAATCATTTCTCCTTAAATCCTCAGGATCTGGGTTTGAACGTGAAAATTCAGGTCCCAGGGAGGGGGGAGGCCATCGCTGCGGCACTGACCTCTTTGATGCATTCTGAGGATAGCACAAATACCTAGACAATGTTCCAGCAGAGGGTGTGAGAAACAAGGCAACTGGGTTCCAAGCCAGTTATTTACCTGCTTTAAGGTCTCAATGGCTTTAGGGCAAACTTTGTCCCGTGCTGGCCCCTATATTAAGTGTACTGCGTGGCCCACGGGATGATTACATGGCCTTCTGAAGAACACCTCTCTCTCAAGCTTTACGATCTACGGCTTGAGGCTGTGTACACCCTTGCAGCATGCATGCATACATCTAGTACAGCGTTTACACTAATCTCATCTCTGTGGGGAAGAAATGTTCCTATTCGTTGCTCACGTTTCTAAAAATCAGCACACACACAAATTTTTTTGTGGAAGTACCGAACATATGGATCCCATTTCAGATTGACTGCAAGGTGCTAAAAATGTGAGGATGAAGCATTCTATAATACTCGCTTGGGAAGAGGTGTGGGCAGAGGGCAGACTTTCTAGAAAGAGGAGAACCAAGGCATCATATCTCAATGGCTTTGACATGTTCACCTTAATAAAGGCACGGTGCCCTCGTGTGTCTGCAGAAGACTATGAACCTGGGGCGCAAATGTCTTCAAAGAGAGAATCACAAAAGGAATCTTATAGGAGTCTGGATCAAATTCATGTTCACTACAGAAAAGAGAACACAAACAGTTAGCTGACGTTTCTCTGTGGTCTAAAACATTTGTAAGGTGACTGTAACAGATATTCCATCACCTTATGCAAAAGGATGATTTCTAAAGGGAGATGAGTGTTATACCTGAAGTCCTTATTGGAACAATGCTGTCTGCAGACAGGCTCGTGATATTCTAACTCTTCAAATATAATTGGGCTGCAATTCGTCGAGGAGCCATCATGTGACTGGGAAGACCCCAAGGGGCTCTGCCGGGCCTGACTGCTGGGTAGGAGACACACCAGTCTGCCATTCCCTTGTTCACGGATTGCGACCGTGTCTGTTAATTTATATAAATCTGACACATTCAACTTGTGTCCAAACCTAAAAGCGAGGAAAAGGAGAGATATGCTGATTTAGAATGTTTTTCTTTGATTATACAGCAATGCCTGTGTATCTGATGAAATAAAGGGCTATCGCCAAGAATGGTTCCTCTGTCTCTTCAAAAGTAAAACTGGAATAATCCTACTATAAATTCATTCACTACCAAACCAGTAATGCTTGGCACTTCTTCGAGTCACCTCTGGCTCACTGCCCATTAGTCACTATGTCATTTGGTACTTATTCCTCGAACCCTGCAGTTTCTGTAAATGACCTCACCTAATTTTCTGAGATGGAAAGCTATCTGATATGACCTCTTTCAACCTGGCTCCCCCAAGCTGGAAAACCCTCTGTATTACCTACCCCTCTCACCATGTCTGCTCAACTCCTTCAGAAGAGGTGTACTTCTTCCTAGTTACTCCCTACCTCATCTATGCCTCAACCTCATGACCCACACTCCCCGAGGCTCAACTCCTCAATCATCCCCCCAACGCAGGTCTTTCACACTTGGGAGCTTAAAACCACAAGGGGTGCCTCAAAATACTAGCCAATAGGATCCAACAGTACATTAAAAGGATTATTCACCATGACCAAGTGGGATTTATCCCTGGGCTGCAAGGTTGGTTCAACATC